GCAGAGCATAACTCCACCTGCTTATGTCTCTTTAGTCCGCACCATACCTGGCTTCTGAGCCTAGTTTTTCAGAGAGCCTCCGGTAGTTGCTGTTATCTGTCCGCCATGTTCTCCCGGAAGAATAGTTATATTTTTTAAATTTAGATGGGCTTTTTCAAGTAGAAGACGAATTTTTTTTTTCTGTTTTTTGCAACAATCTTGCAAGACTGAATCTGTTCCTAGTTTAGTCAGCCAGAGGTACAAGCAAGAAACAGTGGTCCATGAATAAATAAATGAATATGCTCATCAGGTGTCTCAGTATTAAAAATCTGGAGAAACAATTTCCACTTTTGATCTGTGTTACTTCTCAATGGCTGGATACACCTATATTTCTTGAAACACTAACATTGTTGGGATGGCAGGTTTTTCCCAAGTAACAGCTACCCAAACCAGTTTCTGAAGGGTCTACTGTAAAACCAGAGGACTGCAGCTGCACCAGGCAAATGTGTATAGCACTTAGGAAAATCAAAATGGAAATTAATGCTCTTAATTTCATGCCATTACTATTGAAGCAACAGCAATACAAAATATACAAGACGGGTCACATGACTGAGGGTAGACTTGAAAAGTTTTGTTTGTGCTATTACACAAAACCATGGAAAAAGCAGAAAAAGGCGAAGGTTATTGGCGGACGTAAACATCCCTATTTGGATTTATGATGGCTCTGCAGTTGCACTCATTGTGGTCCTGCTCTCGATCTATGTCCCTGGAGCGGTGTCAAGATTCTCTGTGTCTGTGGTCACTGCTCCCATGGGTCTCATCTCGGTGGTTGTGATCACAATGTGGGGCATAGTGGTCCATGTGTTCACGGGAATAATCTTTTGGCTGCAAGTAGGCAGAGTCTCCACTCTCCTGAGTTTCAGAGTCAAATGTCTCTTGCCTGGAGAGGCCTTGACTCATACTGCTGCGATGCTTGTGATGTGGGGCTGAGGAGGAGGAATGGAGGTAGGAATTTTTGACAGGTTCCAAGCAAGATTCTTCTTCAGGTTGGGAAGCTGACCAATCAGGAGTGGAGCAATCAGTCACCTGATCACCTGGAGAACCCTGGTAACAAAAGGAACATAACTGGGCTGACCTTGGGCTTAACCAAGGTCAGAGTATAAAGAACTAAGTGGTCATCGTGCAAAGACATTCAAGTGTAGTCCTTTGAAAGGATCTAAAATGCTGAAATGAAGTCTAGTGTAGCTCAGTTGCTTAATTCCTTTAATATCCAGTGGCATCAGTACGGTTTGTATTGTGTTATATTGGGCTTTATTAAGTGCCTGAAACAGTACACATAGTAATCAGTTTATTTTATTATTAAGAATAAGTGAAGAAGGGTTACTGCTCTATTACATATTCTTTTGTTGAAATACACATGCAAGAGATTTTTCTATACGTGAACATAAACTTTCCTACCTCTGCTTGAACATAGATTAACAAAAACCACAATTAAAATAAAATACATGTGTGACACTTGATGGAACATCACTCCTCCAGGACCTTTACATACACTGTTTAATTCAGTAACCTAGGAGATAAGGTGATCTAAAGGAAAAAAAAAGACAAAAGATGTGACAGTCACAACAGATTTTAATTATTGCTAGGGTATCCTTACTGTTCTTAAGGCCAGCAAGCCAAGACGTAAGTTCACCTGAATTGTACATGCAGTTTCAGGTGGATCCAGGCCTTGAATGCAGACAGTTTACTGTCTCAAGGACCACACAGTTAGTTTTAAAAGTCTGTAGTATCGGGCTAGGGATTTAGCTCAGTGGCATAAGTGCCTGCTTGACAACTGCAAGTTGTGAGTTTAATCCCTGGGACAAAAAAAAAAGTCCATAATATGTTGTATTTATTGTGCTTTCTTAGATGTACAACATACTGTGAACATTTTTAACTAAGTGACTCATGATGTGAGCCATACTTTCAATACTGTTAAGATACTGGAGCGTGCATCAAGGTGGCTGATCTCAGTGGAAGACCTCCAAATGATATAGGGGAGTGAAACTCCTGACCTACTATGTCAGGAGGAGCAAAACACAGTTGACAAAGAATGCCCTAAAGGGGCGATACCAGTTTCCCCAGCACTTCTCCAAAGAGGTGCAAAGCTTAATCAAGGGGCTTGTCAACCCTGACCCAAGCATGCGCCCTACCTTGGAGCAAGTAAGGCAGCATCCATGGCTTCAGCTTGAATCTGTCCCTTGTCATCCTCCTCAACTGCTCCCCAAAGCCACAGAAAGGGCACATTATGGCTGGGAAGGGGTACAACCGGCTGAAGGTGAATTCATGTTCTCTAAAATCAAAGTGTAAATTTTAGGAACAATAGAGATAAAGAGTAAAATATATTTATTGAGAGAAAGCAAGCTTCTGTCTGAGAGAGACAGAAGGAGTCCCAAGCAGTGGGACTCTGTCTTTCCCAGGGACGTTTATAGAGGAAAATCATGGGATGAGATGGACTTGTGGGCAAAACTGGGAACTCACAAGGCAGATGGGCATAAGGTAGGGCAGAACTATGGTTAACCAATAAGATTAATAGTTCAGGTAAATTCATTAAATTGGGGACAAATGGGGAAGTGAGCCACTTAGAAAGCAGGCATTCTTAGAGAGCAGTGAATCTTCCCTAGGGGGTTGGAATGGTGACTCCTGACTTCCGCGGGGTGCTAAGAAGCTATTTAGAACATCAGTCCTTATGGATGTATTTGTTTGATCTTTTGTCTTGAGGTTTGGCCCACAGCAGGAGGTGCCTGTCTCCCCTTAGCTGCAAGGTATCTGAGCTCCTGCACTGGCTCCTTCAGGACCTAGCCCTGTTTCCCTGCTATAGTATTTCTAGCTAACTCAGGGGCCCAAAACACTACTGCAGGCTTGCTGGGATCTGACAGCACGCAGCTGGGCTTGGAGTGCCTCCACTGTCTTCTCTGCACTGGACACTGCAATAAGACCACAGACCGCAGAGGCCTGCCACAGGTTTAAAGTCAGAGAACTTTTTGTCTTTGTGTTTTGTTTTTCCTGCCTGTGTACATTGTTCTCAGCTTTTGTATTTTTCTCTGTTTTTTGGTCCTGCTTTTTGCCCCTGTTTTATCACTCGTTTTCTAAGACTTGGTAATCTCCCTTTGTACTTCAGTCTTCTTATCTCTATTTTTCTATATTTTCTTGGTATCCCTAATAAATTTTCTCCCTTTAGGGTAAATTGCTCTATTGAGTATATATATTTACTGTATATAATATTCTGCTTTGCCTTAGATTTGGCTGTGTAACTATAAATCTCATACCTGTGGTTAAAGCAGGCATGTTCTTGGTCAAAACAGCTTATCATTTCCTGGCCTGTGCTGGATGCAGTTGTTATTGCAGACTGTACTATTTTAGCCAAAGTGACAGAGTTATTGGCATCAATTGATCTTCTTTGAACACCACCACCTCGGTTGTCTACAATCCTGTAGTCCAAAACCAAAGAACTGGTTGCTGGGCCAAACAGGCAGCAGCCCTTCATTCCTACCGAACTGAAGAGGCAGAGCTGGGGATGGAGCTCAGTGGCACAGCTCCTGCCTGGCAACCACAAGACCCTGAGTTTGATTCCCAGTACCAAAAAAGAAATTCCATAGTTTCTGGTTTTGAAAAAAGAAAAAAGAAAAGGCAAAATCTTGGAAAAATAGACTCCAAAGCCAGCTACCCATACAGAACATCTCTGAAAAAGTAGTCATTTCCTAAAGAGGTCCCAATGCTGGCAATAAGCTACTGACTATAAGCAATTTACAAGCCTCAAGGCACAAAGCAAGTACGAAAATAGAAAGTGAGAAAATACAGAAGCAAGATGCATGATGACATGTGTTATGTGCATGTTCCAACTTGCCCTGAACACTCTGGTTCAGATCCTGCCCCAGATGCTGCAAACACAGACCACAGTTTGGAAGTCATCAATGGCTTCTCTTTACCAAATGTCACTGTTCCCACGGTGGCAAGCAACACCCCCATGTGTGGAGATTTCTCTTGTTCCAAACTCTGTCCCCACAACACGCATGCCTGTGTGCCCTCGAGGCTGGATGTTAGTCTCTGTTCAGTGACACAAGACTTGGCAATGTGCTCCTTTCAAAGGCTTGCAGACACAGACTTGGGGACAGCATTCAGAAGGCCAGGGTTTGGGTCCATGTCTCTTCATGGGGATGTGTGGGGGTGATGGTAGATGACCCCTTGCTCTTCCCAGAACACACCCTACTGCCAGGCACAATAAGAATCAAAACCATGAAGTCAGAGAAACAGTGTGAAGTTAGAGGTGTGGAACAGGCCAGAGCGGTTGAGCACTGCTTATGTAGGCAGGGTTTGATCTACTCAGGCTGTTCCTTTGTGCCAGGAGCAGGGCTCTGGATAAAACCAGGGCAGTGCTCAGACGCCTCAGATCTTTTGCATCCTTCACACATACACTCACCTTGTTAGAAATGTCAGGCTTTCTGGGGTTCCTGCCCCTCTCCCCATCTTCAAACTCTCAAGAGGCCCAGAAGCCCCAAGGTGAGGGCACAAAGTTTTCCCAAGACCTTGGAACCCAGCCCTTCCTTGCCACTGCTGTTCCATCTTGCTACCACACGGTGGCAGTGGACAGCACAGCACCCTTTTTAGGGGCAGGGAGGACCCCAAAAGAATGCTGCAGGGATCACAAAGGTTTGTAGAGTGAAGAGGGTACTTGATGGCTGGGCCTAGGATCTAGGGACAATGTCACACACCTGCTTAGGAGCAGGGCTGCAGCGGCTCCCATCATGAATTTGGTGGATGGAGGCTCAGAGTAGCCTTGGCATGTCCCCTGGCTGCTCACAACATGCACAAGTCAAGGCTTCTGTGTGGTGACCAGGGCTGACCACAAGGTTCTGGCCTATGGAACACATGGCACTGCCTCTCTTTGCCTGGACTCACCATCCTCGAAGTGACACTAGGTGTGTTCTTGGCAAAAGGCCTTGCATGTAGGCCTGCTGAGAGGTGAGCACAGAAGACTCAGAGATGCCCAGGCCCGAGTCTTTGGGATCACGCTGAAGCTGTACTCGGAAAGTTTCACCCAGACACAGACCCAGGTCTCCTTGCATCCCCATGGGAGGTTGTGGTCAGGTGTGGTCAGGTCCATGGTACCCAGGTCTCCCTGCATCCTCATGGGAGGTTGTGGTCAGGTCCATGGTGCCCAGCCCTCCCTGTCCCTGGGGCAGCCTCCCTCAGACAGCAGGATACAAGCCAGGTGACTCTCCCCCCTGCTCCTCCTGTCTTCCTCTCACTGGCTCTCAGCTCCTGGTGCCTGTGCAGCCTTCCCATGCTGTGCACCAACCCCTCCCTCTGCTTCTCGCCCACAGGATGCACTAGTGATCTTGACTCCTCCTCTCCCCTCCAGCTCCCTACACAAAGGGCTGCAAGGCAACTCACTGTGGCTTCCACTTGTGTGGCTGACCTCGCTGTCAGGATGACCATGTCCATAGGAGGGATCATGGATCTGCACTACAAAGGCAAGGAGACATGTGTAATGCACGCTCACTGGGAAACACAGCATACATACAGTGGTGGCTGTGGTCACTCCAGCCTCCTCTGCAGCAGACCCCACTGCAACTCCTCCTACCCACACCTGGCCTCTGCCCACACCTGCCCTTCTCCCTCCCCTCCTCTCCTCCCTACAGTTCTTCCCTGACAGTTGAAAATGATATCGAGACACAGCACATTCTGAGGAAGCAGCCGGACCACTCAGACTCCTTGAGTGACCTCTGGTTCTCTACTGTGCAGTACTTACACTGGGACCACCTTGTGTTTGTGACACTTGCATGTCGATACGGGGCAGCAGCACAGGGCCTGCAGGCAGTCTCTCATGGTTCTCTTGACAGTTTTCCAGCCCCACCTCCTACTGCTGACAGGGGCTGGGGCAGCAGTGAAGGCAGCATTTGGAGTCCCAGGGCTGTGCTGGAAGGACTCACCGGGAGAGGCAGGGTTGGGCTGCCAGCATGGCCTAGGAGAGGCACGGAAGATTTTCTTGATGGGAGAAGCAGGGCTTGGTTGACGGGATGCTTTAGGGGTAGCAGGTCCTGGATGGTAGGACTTGATGGGAGAAGCAGGGCTTGGTTGACGGGATGCTTTGGGAGTAGAAGGGCCTGGCTGGCAGGACTTGATGGTAGTAGTATGGCTGGGCTGGCAGGCCTTGGTAGTAGCAGCAGCACAACTTGGTTTGTGGGATGCTATGAGATTAGCGGGGCCTAGCTGGCCAGAGGTACCAACTAAGTTTGGACTGCGCTGGCAGGATGTGCGAGCAGGGGGAGTCCTGCTGATGTCAATTGGCAGGGAGACTGTCTTCCTTTGCTGGCCGAGAGGCTTCACCTCGGGGAGGAAGTGGCCAGTGAAGAGGCAGGGCTCACTCTCCCTCCTAGCTGGTGGGGCAGCTACAGGGGGAGGAGATGAAGATAGCCGATTTTCATCTTTGTTTGTGGGCTGTTCAAACAGATCTTCAGCCTTATGTTTGTGTGTGGGCTTCGCCTCAGATCTGAAGTGGAATTTCCGGAGTGCCATGCCCCGTAGTAGCAGGAAGGGCGCCATGTAAGGGTCGTATTTTCTGCACTTCACTGCATCGATCACCTTCAGCGGGTTGTACCCCTTCCCATCCATAATGTGCAGTATTGCCCTTTCTGTGGCTTTGGGGAGCAGTTTAGGAGGATGACGAGGGACAGATTCCAGCCGAAGCCATGGATGCTGCCTTACTTGCTCGATGGTAGGGCGCATGCTTGGGTCAGGGTTGAGAAGACCCTTTATTAAACTTTGTAGTTCTTTGGAGAAGTGCTGGGGAAACTGGTATCGCCCCTTCAGGGCATTCTCTATCCCTTGTCCTTGGCTCCCATTAAATGGGTTTACCCCAGCGATCATTTCATATAAAATTACGCCTAAAGACCAAATGTCCAGTGGTGGGCCTTGGTAGTTCTCTTTTAAGAATACCTCAGGGGCGGAATAGTATAGGGTACCTCCACACGCGGTCACCTCCTGGCCAGGATGGAACCTGAAAGCCAAGCCAAAATCGCTGAGCTTGGGGTGGCCTTCACGGTCCATTAATATGTTTGCTGGTTTCAAGTCCCCATGGACAATCCCCCTGTCATGGCAGTACCGCACAGCCTCCAGGAGTTCTCGGAATATCAGCCGGGCCCTCTCTTCCTCCAGCTTCTGTGTCTCAGCAAACTTGATAAAGCGCTGCAGGTCTTTTCCGCGCGCATACTCCAACACCAGGAACATACAGGTACTATTTTCTGACACTTCCAGCAACTGAATGATATTGGGGTGCTGAAGGTCCTTTAGAATGCTGACCTCCTGTTTAACAGCAGTAGGCCCCAACTTGTTCTTGTGAAGTACCTTCACAACTACCAGCATCCCTGTGCTCACATGTTCAGTGAGTACTACTGTGGCAAAGTTACCCTCACTAAGGGGCAACAGCATGTCATAATCTTCCCAGAAGATTTCTGTGGACGATGACATTTCTGTGGACGATGACATGATGTCCAGCAAAGATGTTTTACATGCCACAAAGGATGCCTTGATGGAACTAGACATTATAAAATCAATTATCAAAATTTCGAATCTCCAACCACCAACTACTCTCCAAACACCACTCCACTTCACCCACAAAGGGTCTCTGGGCTGAAAACCCTACCTTATACAGCTATCTGCTGTGACCTCACAGGGGATCTTGTGAAGTCATGGTGCCAGTGGGCCCAGGCAGAGCTGGTCACCTCCACTTCACCCCTCACACTCTTGGCCATGAGGGTCTTTTGTTTCTAACAGAAAAATGTTACAAAATGTCTTACTAATGTGAGTTATGGAGATTGACTCTTGAGTTTTTGAAATTCAAACCTGTAGGATGCTTCAATATCCCTTTTGTTTCTGTTCTGAGAATCTGTTCTCAGCATCTGTAATACCTCTTACATTTAGAGATCCCATGATGTCTACACTCAGCATCTCCAGTTCCTTTTGCTCTTAATTCTTACTGGTGTCAAAGTGATGCTGCAACTTCACTTACATTAGAATAATGTAACGGTCAGTGTATAAAATATGACAAATAAATTAATGCCTGTGCACCTGACAGCAATTCCCCAAAAACATAGTCATTAGACTTATCCTCAAAATCCTTGGAGAGCAGCGGCAAGCACAGTCACAGAAAGGACACCCAAGAGTTGGAGACACATTTATTTATACCAACGGGCACTGATTGGTACATTCCCAGAATATCAGGCCCTGATCTCTGATGGTCTGAGGCCTGTACAGGATAAGCAAGTGGGGAGTACAGGGGCAAAATGGCTTGTTGATTGGGGCTGGTTTATGCAGTGTGCATCACAGTGACCAGCTAGGCATCACAGTGACCAGCCGTTTCTTAGAGACAGAACTGTTACCTGGACAACTAAGAAACTGCAGTATACTGACTGGGGTGCGGGATATTCTGTTACAGGAGGACAGAAGGAAACAGGTGGACATGTGCTGTGTGAATGAAACAGTGAAACAAAACAAAAAGCTCTCTCAACTAAGCATTTTACATCCAGCAAAACTGTCCTTAAAATGAGGGGGAAAGCTCAGACATTCCTAGATGCAAGCACTGAAGAATGTCCGTCCTTCCTAGTAGGCCTGCCTTGGGTAGAGGAGTCCCTTAGGTTGAAATGGAAGAACCAGCTCTGGTCCCACATGCCTGTGATCCAGCACTCAGGAGGCTGAGGCAAGATGATCACTGTGAGTTCAAGGCCAGCCTGGGCTACAGAGCAAGACCCTGGCTCACAAAGGAGAATTTTTTTTGCAGGAACTCAAGTCTGAAGAAAAGTCTGTTAAAGCTGAATACGTGGACCTTTATGAAAATCAGGACTGGTTTTGTATTCTACATGTTAGAGGCTCACATATTGAAAAGAAAACAATGCACCCTGTAGTACTGTATTTCCTGAGACACAGTGTGGCATACGTGGAGGAAACTACAAACTCACTCCCCAGATGTGGGGCAGCATCCTGTATATGGCTATGTTTAACTGCCACGGATTCATACCACCCTGGGGTGGCCTTGGGATTTTCAAAGTTATATCCACGGCATCCTCAAAGAAAACATAAATAGCTTTTACACAGGTGATGAGCCCATTGACTCCAAAACGAATGACTCCTGCAGAAGAGCGGGACAGCTGCTGCTGGAGTGGGGACAGCCACGCCCAAGCCTCTCTCCCAGTCAGCAGCATTCGCAGACTGTGGAGCGAGAACCAAGCCTCACAAGGGGGTGGGCCCTGCCTGGAAACCATGTCATTTTCATTGCTTTGTTGGTTGGGTTTTATTCTTTCATTTTGTTTGATTATATTAAATCTGCAGCCATGAACAACTGTTCCAAAGATAGCAAGACGTGTTATGGTAGCCATTCTGGACTTACTGTGAGCTTGTTTTGAAGTCCTTTACTGCAGTCATTGTTTTGTGTTTGTTGTTTCTGCTCTATTCTGTTGTTTGATTTTTACCAGGCCCAAAGGTATCTGCAGCTATTTTGAAGATGATAGAGGCATTATGGTAACTATTGCTGATTTTCTAAGTTTTAAAGACCTGTATCACTTATACTGGTTTATCTTGATCGGTTTTGTTCTGTTTTGTTTTCCTTGGTTTTATCCTCTTTTTAGGCCAGGGATTTAACTCAGCATCATAAGATCTGTCTGGCAAGTGTGAGGTCCTGAGTTTGATCCCTGATACGAAAAACATAAAATAAAATAAATTTTTAAAAAATAAAGAAGAAGAAGACGAAAAAGAGCAAGGACAAGATGCTGCAAGGCTCATGAAACAGCCACCTGACAGAGGCAAACTCTTGCAAGCTCTAATTCCCTTCTAATGAAGGGGCAGTGTCTTCCCAATCAAAAGCAGAGACTGGGAGACGAGATGGGAAACTTCACCCAATTAGATGCAAAGCAAGAAGGTAGAAAAAGTACAAAGTAAAAGTCCTCTGTGCCAAATACAGAAGAGTTGGCCACTCTACTGTTGGAGTGGGTCTTTGGTTAAGAAAAGGTTTCAGGAGACACAGGGACATATTAGAGTGTAGGTAGCAACATAACTACATGCAGCAGGCCTATCCTGTACCAGTAAATTTTACTTTAGTGCAATAGCCAGCTGGGCATGTCACTACCTTCCCCTGAGGGACACTGGAAAGCAGTTTATGTGATTACCCACTTGCTGTGTCAAACAATGAGGTGTGTGAGCAAGTGCAAAAGTCTCAAAATGGGATTTTCACCCACGTTGTGCTCCATCTAACTGCTTTTGTGTGTTTATTCAAGCATCAAAGAGGGTTCAATAATCCCCCATTACTCCAGGATTTGTCTTTTTAAAAGCTTTCTTTTGATTTTTCTGGTGGAAATAGCCCAGTTCTGTACAATGGCATGTGAAAACTATATCTTGGAGGAGGTCACAAGTGAATGAATCATCAGATTACTCATGCATGAATGATGAAGATGATCCATTATGACAAAACACTTTCATAACAGAAGAGTGTTGTGGATGGATGGATGTCGATGAAGAGGAGGAAGAGGACTTTGAAATTGGCCATGTGAGTCAAACTTCCTGGGACAGTGAAGTGGAGCAAAGATCAACTGATACTGATACCGACCTCCTTTGTTAAGATGACAAAACAATGTGAATACATATTTGACTAGTGAAAATGTTGCAAAATGGCCACATAACCAAATGAAATGATCTAATGTTAATACTAAGTCCAAAATATAGTGAGGGACTTGGCAAGAGTGAAATGTATTGGACGAATGCTGATACTGCTATTCAAAGTTGGGAATTTTAACACATGAAATGTTACAAGATTCTGTGAAATATACAGAGGTTAAAATTCAAGTAAAGTGTTCTTTATGCACCATTAGCCATATTCAAAAATGTTTTATGACATTGTGCTGAACTGAAAGCATTTATGGATCTGTGTGCTTAGGAGGGATTTCTCATAGTGATTGCAGGAATGTAAAGGCCTCATGGAAAATGATGGGTCAACTCTGGCATAATGCATGCCCTTGTGCATGTGAGGACTTTTTATGCTTTCAATTTAGACATTTAGCCTTGAACTTAGCCACAAGGTGTTTATTCATAGAATAATAAACCAGATGATGTTATGAACAGAAATGTTCTTATGGTTTGGGACTACAGTTCATATGAGATTATTTACAGCAGAGAAAAATCCAGCTTTTCTTGTCAGTGAATTATGTGAAGTACTGTGGAGTGCACTGGTGAGCTGACAGGTGAATAGGCACACACAGCTTCCTAGATCCACAATGATAAGAGGAAAACAAAAAGATCTCAACAGTGTCCTACAAGAAAATACAGGAAAACAAAACATGCTATCAGTGGAAGTGTCCCTCGTGTATGGAACATGCAAGACTGCCTTGGGTATGACAAGTGCAAAGACTGCTTTGGATATGACAGTTGAAGCAAAGCTTATTTATGTGGTAGATTTTTGTTTCTGTTTACATTGCAGTTCACATAGGTTTCTATTTTTGATGTTATCTTTGATGTGAAAATATATTGATGTGTATTCTTTTTTTTTTTTTTTTTTTTTTTTTTGTCTTTTTCATTTTTTTATCGGTACCGGGGATTGAACTCACGACTGCCTACTTGCAAGGCAGGTGCTTATGGTGCTGAGCTAAACCCCCAGCCCCATTGATGTGTATTCTAAAGGCACAACACACAGTAAGAATTTAAGAACTTCTTTTGATATTTTATGTTCCTGTTGGCTACACACTCTATAGCACAATAACCTTGACAAAACAGCAAAACCATTGAGATATCAAGTACATCCTACAAAAAGAGTAGGACAGCAAAACATGTGCTCCCAGTGTGAGTATTATGTGTCTATGGAATACGCTGTGGTCATGTGCACAGACTGATTTAGATGTGATAATTGAAGTGAAGATTACTTTTTTGTAAATTGCTGTTGATATTTTCAGTGTAATTTGTATAGTAATATTTTTGTTATTTTTTGTAGACTTTATGCCAAAAAGTTGTTGATGTTTTAAATTTTGATGCTTTATTATAAACACTCAATAAATATTAAAAATTCAATACTTTACATTTTTTTGTTTTTTTTCCTGGTAAGCCACTGTGTAATATAACAACACTTATAAAAGTAAAGTTAATAACTCATCAATAGAAATATTCTAAAGAATGAGTGTGTGTCTGGTAAACCTATGTTTCTGCACCTTTATGACAAAGTTAGTGTTATGCTCCTGAAATAGTCAAGACCAGGAAAGTTTGCAGGGATGCTGTTCACAGTGTCATCATCTAACCTTGAAGACTCCTCTGGAGGTTTCACCTACATCCTGCCATGCAGACAAGCTCTCTATCTACAGTTGCCAAATCCTGGGAGGCAACACACCTCCTGCAACTGGAGTTCAGTATTCTGTCTCTGAGGTGAACATCAAGACGGTCATACATGTGCCAGGCCCTGGGAGAACTCCTGCTCGTCCTCTGAGAGTTCAGGGAAATCCCTGGGCACTGAGATCACTGCCCCTCTAAGCCAGGGCCTCCCAGTCACTTCTCCTGTTTCTACACTAACAGTGTCGCGTTCCATATCATCCTGACACTGGAGTTGATGGAGCTGTCCCATGGCAGCTCTCAGGTCACAAGTCATATAGCCCCTCTCCAAGATGGCTACCAATCAACTGCCCTCTTCTAGGGGACATTTGGACCCTAATAAGTCACCAGCCACTGCATTCTCCTGTGTCCACTACTCTGGTACATTTCTCTGTGGAAGCCTCTGGGGTTGCCAGTGGACCCTGCATCTACAGGCTCTAGCTGCCCCTCTCATCCAGTGAGTCAGGGCTCAGGAGAAAGCACCACTTGCCGCCTCCTGCTGCATTTACTTCTCTCTCTTTGCTATTCCTGTGGGCTTTAATTCTCATTTCAAATCCTTGCTGGGCCCTGGGGATCTGCTTCCCTCCTCCTCTTCCTCGAGTTGCTATATTCCAGCATCTGGACACCAAATCTTGGAGATGCTGTTTCTCTATGCTCACCACCCTTCCATCTTCCCGGAAGTCTTTCATTCAGGGTATCCTTCCTGGCCTTGGGACAGCTCTGGATGTGGAAGAAGGAACTAGAAACAGAGCTCCTTTCTGAATCCCCCTGTGTTTCGAAAACACCCAAACAAAACAAAATAAAAACTACCAAGCCTACCATTCCATGTTAAATCCTTTGCTTCCTGACTGCCAAAGTATGATGTTCTTTTGTGCCTGATCCCCTTCTCCTTGGTTTCCCAGGGCCATACAATAGAGCCCTTTATAGTGAAATAGGAGAAATATAACTCCTGACTTGTTAGATGTCAAATAGAGCCTATTGTCCCATAACATTGAGGAAAAAAGTTAGGAACCAAAGGAAGAAATTAGGAGAATTCTGCTGGAAATCAGGAGAGAAAAATAGCTCCTGGATTTCCAGCAGCAGTCCCAAATGAGTGTTCATTGAGGCCCTTTGTTAATGGTAATTTACTCAATAAAGTCACAACAACAATGTGGGTTACTGCAACCAGCATCCTTGTGCTGATTTTCTTGAGGGCATAATCCTCTGATTGCATATTAATTTCTATCCAACTTAGTTTTATATAATAATAGCAGTGGGCAAGTAGGTATATAGCACTGTCCATACTCCTACTGGATACAGACCATAGCCCTGCGGTTTCATGCCACCTGGATTGTCAACACTCCATTAGCCATAACAAGAACCTAGAAACGTAGAACACATCAAGGAGGGAAAGAATGGATTCCCTCATGGCTCAGAACCAACCAGCTAAAGGACCACTGCAGCGAAATACAGACAGAGAAGAAACACAGCCAGGCAAATGGCCATCTGAGTCAGCGGCAAAAGAAAAGGGAGTCAGGGGAAGGGTCTCCAGAGTCTCATCCCCAGTGCCTCCCATCACCTCACACATCCCTCACCCCCACACATCCCCGGGTTACTGTGAGGGGACTATAGGCTGGGGTGTAAGACAAGCAGAGCCAAACAAAATATGATAAGGACTTGTACCAGCCCCTCCCCCGCCAGCACAATATCTCACCCCTGTAGAAAGACATTGTGACTGCACAGTACTTGGGACCATTGATGTAGAGGCTCTGATTCCTCCACAGTGCAGCTGGCAGGGAAGCAGTGACTGCAGAAGCAAATGGTACTTTCCATTTCTTCTGGTGCACAGCCTGAACACAGGGAGGAAGGCGTTCCCTTGCTGGGCAAAGCTCATACCTCAGGAGCCTGGACTTGCCCATTGCACCTTCTCTATGGGATGGAGAACAGCCACTATAAACTAGGAAGAATAGAATTAAACCAGCCTGTGGGAAATAATGGTGAGTGGAGGCCAAGAGGAGAAGGCATGGGGGAGCCCTGTGTCCAGACTGAAAACAGAAAGACACAGCCACCCAGCCCGTCTGCAAGCCACAGACAGCCGCACTGGCACCCTTCTGGGTGCTCCACCTCACTTACCCTGCCCTCTCAGAATTGAAACTTGATTCTCTGATCTCCAAGGATCCAGCCTCAGAGATGTACAGAGAGCTGTGCTCTTGGTGGGTTTTGCCAGGGTCCTGTGAAGGGGAGAGAGATCAGATGGGGAGCAGCCCTGTCTTATGTCCTGGGCTGCCTGCAGGCAGGTTTCTGGTCGTCCTGTGGATGTCACATGTGGGAGGTTTCCAGGCTGCCTTGCCATCCCTGTGGTGGGGTGGTGGTTTGCTGGGCTCTCCCGCAAACCTCTGTCCCCAGGAGTGACCTGTTGGGAGCCACTGAGCTAGAGATTGCGCATACATGCACAAATGCCCAAATAAGAGCGTCCCAGGGTCACAGAGTGCCTGAGAAGCACCCTGAGGGTATGAAGTGCTGGACGAAAGTCAGCCCTAAGAATGTGAATAAGAAGCAAGCTAGTTAAGCAAAGGGGAATCATAGGACAAATATATAAATAAATCCTTTGCAGTGGTTGAGCAGTCTCTTCCTTCCCCTGGGAGGAAGGACTCCACCTGACCCCAGCTTTCTGTCTCTAGCTTTATTTTCTTCATCCTCTCGTTGTTCTCCACGGCCCTCTTCTCCTCCCTGGAACTTATCTCTCATGGCCGTGTCAGGGACCCTGAGTCATTATTTGTGTCTCTGTCCTGGGGCCTCCTGCGCCTTTTCTGATCCGTCCCAGGTACATCAGAAGGAACTGGTAGACAGAGTGGCCCCACTTCGCTCCAAAAAGTGTCTCACTGTGGGTGTGACTCAGAAGGCATATCTCCCCACTTCCTGTCTACCTTGAGGTGTGCAACTTCTCCACCATGATGTTGTCTCCTGTGATGGTGAAGTCTTTGCTACTGTGTCCCATCATAGCAACCTTCTCTCTCCTGTAGAACATTCTCATTTTCCCACCTTTATTTGGCCAAATCATCCAGGACTGGGGATCTAGCTCAGTGGTACTGGGCCTATCTGGCAAGTATAAGGTCCTGAGTTCAATTCCCAGTACCCAAACAAATAAGCAAACAACAACACCTCAAATCATTCAGAATGATTTAATCTTCCTAAATAGTGTTCACAGAATAGTTTCCCCTTAACAATAGAAATCAGTGCAGATATCCCTTGTTACTGAATTTTTCTTTGAGATGGTGTTTTTCCCACCTCAGCCTCTCAATTACGTTCTTTTGAACTCTATATCTGTGAAGTAAGAAAAAATGATAAGAGGGAACACTAAGGGGAATTATTTGTCTTTTTTTTTTTTTTTTTTTGTCTTTTTCAGTTTTTATCGGTACCGGGGATTGAACTCACGACTGCCTGCTTGCAAGGCAGGTGCTTATGCCGCTGAGCTAAATCCCCAGCCCCCAAAGGGGAATTATTTGGAAAGACTAAGATAA